GGTGGGTAGCATCTCCAGAGTGTCCAGCAGCAACAGGCCCACCTTGTACACTGTTTCTCCAGATTCTTTTCATGACTCTCAGCTGACCAGGCTCTCAAAGGCAAATGTAGCCATGGTCTAAGGAGTTCAACTACAGTTGGATTCAGCAACGGACTGAGGCATCATCCACATGATGTTGGCTTTGCAGGCATGCAGAACGCAATTATAAGGTCATGGGGGCTTCTATGACCCTATAATGGCTTCCTTTCTTTTCGAAGGAAGGCTTGGGAGGCTGGCAATAGGAAAAAGGTCAGGATCCCTGCAGGCAGCCCAGAGCGGGTGATGTGTAATGCTGTGAGAGAGGAGCCTAAGTTTCGATGGATACCCAAGGGAGTTAGTTGGAGATGCCAGAAACATGGAATGTTTACTACGGGAAGCTAGAGGAGCTTGCTGGAGATGTTGAAAGAGTGCCTGTCTCATGTGCATGAAGCCCTGACTAAGACCTCTGACGGTGTCAATCAAAATAAATCCTAGCCTCCCTTTAAAAACTGAAGGGAGGTTGTTTAACAGTACTCAACCTCACCAGGTTATTGGGAAGACGAAGTGAGTCATAGTGTATGATACTTTTTAAAAAAAAATTAAAAGCCCTGTAAAATATTTAGAGAAAATACAGTGGAATCAAAGAGACTAACCTGTCTTGGCTGGGGTGCTCGCTTGTTTCATTGTCTTAAGCTAATCACTTGGCTTCTCGGAGCTTTAGGTTTTATTGTTTAGAAGGCAGAATTAAGCCTTCCCAGTGAGAAATCACTCCAGCCCTTCATAGATTAATATGGAAAACTCTTCAATAAAAGCGCACATCCTGATCCTGGTCAATGCCTATGGGATTCTGGCCACAAATGGCAATCTTTTACAGCTAATATAAGTTGAGCTACAATACTATGATCATACATATGCTCTCATCAGTAGGTGGCTTTTTAGGTTGCCACCCCGTTACATTTTCTGAACAATTGGGGTGGGTTTTACAGAAAGAAACTGCAGTTATCTGGGTTATCCATACATTACGCTCGCTGGGCTGCGGAACACTGACGCAGCTTTCTATTAAACAAGCGAGGTTTGTTCTCCGAGTAGCAGGCAGCCAAGTTTATTTTCTCTTTGCTTCTTCCTCTGATGAGATGAGGGGTCCCTCAAGAGCAAGCAGCCCCGAATGAGTGAGCTCTAAAGAAGTATATGCTCAGTGAACCTACATCCCAATTATCTTAGAAGTACTACTCTACCGCCCTTACCTTCCATGGTGTCTAAGAAGTTTGATTAGTATGTCGGAGGCAATGCGTCTTCAGGCAAATTCTGCTGCTGTGTGACTATTTTCTGAGCAAACTTATTGGTAAATCCTCTAAGACACTTGTTTGCCATTTTTAATTCTTTTCTTCAATGGTCCTTACTCCATTGCATCATGAAGGTTAAATGTCATAACGAGCAAAGCAGTTACCCGCTCTCTGTCCTGTGTCACGTCTTCCTGTCTATCATAGCTATGCTCATTCAGGATTATGTTTTTCTTTTCCCAAAGAGGATAGTATTTCTAAGAATATTTTGTTTTTGCTTATGAAATTGTCTACATGAATATTTATTAGCTAGAGGATTAAAGATCTATAAAATTGAACTGCTAAATGCATCCTACTTAATTATACATCAAGTATCATCCCAATGCTGAATATTTCATCAGTGGCTTCCCTGGCTGTGAGGATGCAGAGCCTGGGGAAAGAAGGCAATCAATTAAAGAGAATTTGGTACAACCCCCAACAAAGATCATTTTTATTTTAGGCCAAGTGGAAGAACAAGGTTTTCCAAAAGGGTTTTTGTTGTGATTGTTGCTGTTCTTTTATTTTGTTTTGTGTAGAATAACTGACCCAAAAATTTTCAGAAGAAGCCCTGAACATAGCTTGGCCGTGATTCATTTTCCATCAGCAGTGTCAGTAAACTAGTATTGTTTCCCCCCATGGTTACGGACTGGTGCTGGAGAGACCGCTCTGTGGGTAAGAGCACATACTTCTCTTTCAGAGGACCCTAGCTGGTTCCCAGCATCCCTATCCGGTGACTCACACCTGCCTGTAACTCCAGCTCCAGGGCATCTGTCACCCTTCTCTGAGGGCATCTGCATGTGACTGGCATACATAAACTCACACAGGCACACATTCATATGAATTTAAAAAGTAATAAACATAAATGGTTATGTCCTTCCTTTACCATGTTACCTGACAGTTCAGTAGACGCCATCTGTGTTGGTTTGAATGAGAAACACCTCCTGTAGGCTCATGTTTTTGAACACTTGGTTCACAGTTGGTGGTGCTGTTTGGGGGAAGTTATGGAATCTTCAGGAGTGGGGCTTTTACTGGAGGAATCACATCACTGGGGGCAGGCTTTGAGGGTTTATAGTTCTGATGAAGCCCACTTCCGGTTTGATCCCTCTCTGCTTCCCGTGTGGATGGAGATGTGATCCGCAAGCTTCCTGCTCCTTCTGCCTGTCGCCACGCCCTCCCGACCATTATGGACTCCATCCCTCTGGAAACACAAGCTAAAATAAACCATCTTTTCTTTAAGTTGCTCTTGGTTGTGGTGTTTTATCACAGCAACAGAAAAGTAACCAATACACTGTCTTCATTTTATTTCTTTATCTACATAGAACCACCTTACAATGGGTCATACTCTCTGAGTCGCTGCTGTATGGAGAAAGATAGATAAATGAAAACCTAGTAATACCCCATTCTCCTTCCTTCCTGAGTTCCTTCCTTTTAAAAATTATTTTTCTTTCTTTTTTTCTGGAGCTGAGGACCAAACCCAGGGCCTTGCGCTTGCTAGGCAAGCGCTCTACCACTGAGCTAAATCCTCAACCCCATTTTTCTTTTTTTTTAATAGAGTTTCACTATGTTACATGAGCTAGCCTCAAATTCACAGTTCTCCTGTCTCAGCTTCCTTGAATGTGTGCATCACTGTGCCATGTTTCCTAGCAATCTTTTCAAAGTTAATACTGTCATGGTGAAGGTTGTCTAGAAGATTCTGGGTTTTGTTTATTTGTTTGTTTTGTTTTGTTTGTTTGTTTGTTTTTGTTTTTCAAGACAGGGTTTTTCTGTGTAGCTTTGCACCTTTCATGAAACTCACTCTGTAGCCCAGGCTGGCCTCGAACTCACAGAGATCCACCTGCCTTTGCCTCCTGAGTGCTGGGATTAAAGGCTGCGCCATCACCGCCCAGCCTAGAAGATTCTGAAGGCTGACTTCTGAAACATAGTTAAACTGTCTGTGTATCCATAGTTGAGAAACCCAGTGCTTGACACAAGCAGCATACTGACATGAATCGATTCAATGTTTTGTTTCATCTCCCTGCCTGTTCCCATTTCTCATAATCTCAGTCCTGTGAGGAGGTGTTTTGATGGAGAAGAGGTCCAGGTTCTGAAGCAAGGGGAGATGAGAGGCATTTGGTCAGGAGGACATTTCCAACCCTAAACTCCAAAGGGAAAAGAGACCTCCAAGGGACAAGCTTCACTAAAGCCACATGCACCTGTGTCTGTTTCAGGGTCGTATTCCCCTCCCAGAGCACTGATCTAGTATATTCTCAGAACAGGGCTCAGTGATCCCTGCAGGTAAGTTTCCAGTCCATATGAACACACTTCTTAAACAAGGTATATGAAGATGTCAAAGGGGGAGGGGGGCAGGGGGAAACAGTATTACATTTACGACATCAGAGAAAAGCACTTCAAATACATTTTCAACATCTCATATTTGAGCATCAACCGTGATCATTTCTTAGTACTCCCTATCCTTGCTCATGGTTTACCCGAATTTTATCTGTGTAGTTGATGTCATTAATTCTTACAATGACCCTGGATATTTTTATTCCTGTTTGACAGTCATGTTAAATGATTGGCCTAAACCCACATAGATAAAAATACAGGTTCGTCTGGTTCCAAAGCCCTAATCTCAGCTCAACACAGTGTTGCATTTTAATGCTGTCACTTATATTACTTAAACAGTGCTTTTTAAATTTTTTTGCCCCATCCCACCCTCGATTTTTAAATTTTAATTTAATTTTTTATGCCTGCCTATTTGGGGTTGTTTGTTTGTTTGTTTTAGTGTGTGTTTTGTTTTGTTTTCAAGACAGCATCTCACTATGTAGCTCTGGATGTCCTGGAACTCACTTTGTGGACCAGGCTGGCCTCGAACACACAGACATCCGCCTGCCTCTGCTTCTGCCTCCTGAGTGCTGGGATTAAAGGCGTGCACCACTACGTTTTGCATAAGCCTTCCTGTTGGTATGTCACCGAATGTGTTCCTGGTGCCTGTGAAGGCCAGAAGAGCGTAGATTCCCTGGGACTGAAGTTACAGGTGATGTGAGCTGCCGTGTGGATGCTGAAAGCTGAATCTGGATCTTCTGCAAGAGGAGCAAGCGCTCTTAGCCACTGAACCATTTTGCCAGTCCCTACAGGCAGATCCTGCCCCACCCTGCCACACACTCGATATTTTCTCCTTCACAGCAGCAAACCATTCTGCCACACCGTTGCCGCTCATCTTTCTGTTCTTGGACCGTTAGGTTATTTCAGGGTTTTTTTTATTACAATAAATAATGGCACTATAAATTGTGGTTGCTCCCGAACCTTATTTTCTTCTTTCACATTATTTCCCGGAGATAAATTCCCTGGAGGTTTCACTAGGTGAAAAGTTACAGGATCCATGTGGCTCTAGCTACGTATTATCAACCCGTCCTCTGAACAGACCGCACTGTGGCATCACATCTTGAAAACGAGTACTATCTTTTCTCACCAGCCCCTCGGGAGGGTTGTAGGGCAAGCCAGGGTGGAGTCCCGCTGCTGCATGGGTATGCCCCGGGGCTTTATAATACTCCCTGAAGATGATGTGTGACACAAGTATGTATATTCCTGAATAAGATCTCATGTGGGATGGTGTGATCCCAGCTCCCACAAGAGGATTCCTGGATTAAGTTCCTCTTTTGGAAATCATAAGGTCAACAAAAGTTACTCATTTAGTTTTTTGTTTATTTTTTTTCTTTTCAAGAAACCTACATTTTCTTCTTGAATCAGATAGTATCTCTCCACTTGTATATCAGAAACAAAGTGTGCCATCTGTTAGAAATAAAGGCTAGACTTCAGCGCATGGTTTGCCATTCCAAACTGGGTCCCAAGGGGTTGAGATAAACTATACCAAGGAAAGGAAGTCCTGGCAGAGCTAGACTTTCAGGATCTGTTAGGAAAGGATAAAAATGGGGGAAGGCTCTTTTCAATCATGTGGCAAGTTATTTGGAGATTGCATATTAATATCATACATGGCAAAGGACCTATTTAAAGTTATGGAAAGGTTTAGATCTGAATCATACAGCACACAGTGCAGCTCACGTGACAGGCATTATTATTGCCACACATGGCAAGCATTACATAGTCCAGCTGACAGTGCAGTAGGCATTGGGGAAAGCCTGGACACTGAAGGTAAGCAGACCTGGTTTGGCCTTCTCCCCAGCCGCACAGGCGGCCTTGGACAAGATTTGATCCCGCCTCACCTTCTAGGAAATGAAAGTTACACTGCTTCCCTACGAACTTCGCTTTACAGACGAAATGAAAGCATGTGCCAGGCATCCAGTGAGTGGTCATTTAATTCAAAAATGAGTCAATAAATGACCAACCAACCCTACCCTTATGCTTCTCAAACTTCAGGATGAAAATCATCTGGGTCACTTCTCCAAAAAGCAGATTTTCAGTTCCATCTCCAGAAATTCCAATTCTGTAGAATAAAAGGATGAAGCCTGGGAATCTACATCTATAACTAAATTCTAAAGTGTTTATGCTACTAGTTCATAGGCCATGCTTTGAGAAACACTGTCTTATAATCTCAGAGAATTAAAACAAAGAAGAAAGATTTCTATCACCAAGAGGATACAAAAACTTGATAGTATGCAAGAAGCCCAAACAGCAAGTGATTTTATTTTCAAGACACTGTAGGTAGTTCCTACCTAATGGAATTAGGGTTGTCCTAGACAACATCTTATCTTTCAGCCCTTGTGATAGATGACTGTGTCCTTGATCTGCCATAGCAATCTGTCCCTTTTCTAGACTTCGGTACATTGTTCCCATTCAGCAGGCTGACAGACATTGCATCTGTAATCCTGTGTTATTGCACATTGGATGTGCACCCCATTTCCCACAACTGGGCTTTAAGTATCTTTTATTGTTTTATCCTCCACAAGCAACATGGAAATCCTTTGCAGTGGTAAGTATTTCAAATACATACTTTTATAAATACAGATCTATGGGGACTGGAGAGATGGCTCAGTGGTTAAGAGCACTGGCTGCTCTTCCAGAGGATCCAGGTTCAATTCCCAGCACCCACATGGTACCTCACAACTGTCTGTAACTCCAGTTCCAGGGGATCTGACACCCTCACATAAATGCACAGAAAATAAAATTAAATTAAAAAATCAGAATAAACATAGATATACACATTGAACTGTTGACCAATAGTCATTGTCAAATCTTTTGCTATGAAAGTGTCTCAGATTCAGTCATGACTAGTTGAGGCCTAGGCTTTGGAAAAGGTAAGTGCTGGAGCCCCACAAGCTGCTTCCTCCTAGACAGCAGGGAGAACTCTTACCTCTCAGGGCTGCTGGGAGGATTAAATAAGAAAATGTTCACAGCATTTCCAGCAAAATGTCCAGCACTGTGGTTGCGTTCAAGTGAGATTCCAGCTCTTGCTAGTACACCTGAAAGGACCACACAGAGTATACGGAGCTGTTTTCAACATCCGCTTTCTGATGTAAAGTCACTAACTGGTGATTTCTAAACAAAACTGGTGTTTGATCTTTCTGCGTGTGTGTGTGTGTGTGTGTGTGTGTGTGTGTGTGTGTGTGTGTGTGTGCACTCAAGCATGCATGCATGGCACATGTGTAATGGTCAGAGGGCGATTTACAGGAATTGGTTCTCTCCTTCCACCATGTGAATTCTGGGAACTGAACTCAGGTCATCAGGCTGGGCAGCAAGTGTCCTTACCCACTGAGCCATCTTGCCCATTCAGCTCACTTCACTCAGTTTTCTGGTATAAGCCAAGGGACCAGCACAGGCATTTCACAGGTACTGTTTACTGGACTCTTCACCCTGCTTTTTGAAACAGGGTCTCTTACTGAACCTGGAGCTCACTGATTTGGCGAGGCTGTGTGGCTAGCAAGCTGCGGGGAGCCTCCTGTCTCTGCCTCTTCGGCATGTGCTATCATCATCACATCAGGCTTTTAACGTGGGTGCCCTCAGGCTTGTGTGACAAGTGCATGAGCTGTCTCCTTAGCCCCTTTTTTTTCTTTTATTCTGAGGTCTAGAATTTTAACCTTTAGGAAACTGGTTGTCCAGAAATGTGTGTGGATTCTCTATAGAGAAGAGAAAGTCATGTTACCATCCCAGCTTTCACGGAGCAGTTCAACGAGGTTTATGCTTCACAGACCTTCTCTGGTCATGTGATGATCATGAGTCTTCTCCCGTTACTGAGGAACATCCAGCTTTCCAAATAAAGACGATGAATCCCACCTGAGACAAGACACACAAACTTTCAGCTTTGTGTTGTAGTTAGGAAACGCTCCAGCCTGAGTGAGGCAGACAATGGGCTCTCGGAGCTATTGTGAGAGCAATGGGTTTGCCTAGTCCTTTGGAATATAGTCAGTTAACTGTAAGAGGGACTGTGCCATGGAGGAAGTGATATAAAATACATAAACTATATATATATATATATATATATATATATATATATATATATATATATATATATATATATATATAGTTTCTCTATACCTAAAGGAATTTCAGCCAAAAGCAAGAAACAGACAATTCTCGGTGTATAAGAATACACTGGCTAGTGACTAAACCATGAGAGATTTATTTGATAGATTGTAATAGAATTGCTCTAAATGGTTACAGAGACCTAGAGAATACGACTAAGTAATAACCTGGAATAATGTAAGAAATGCAATAACATGTAAAAGGCTCTGGGCACATTTTAAGAAAACCAGAAAAAAAAAATGGCAAAATTTAGTTTAAGCTCAGAGCTTTCAGCAATTGTGGAGTGATGTAGACCCTTCCCAGTGCTCTCTGCCTCTTACAAGAGCCAATGAGAACCACAGGCTTAGGTGGTGGGATTGTGACGTCATCAACTCTCCAGCCAATCTCTGTGATGATTATTTGCATAGTTTACTCCTCCTAGTCCAAAAGAAGTTGATTTCTTTTCATGACAACACTGAGTGGAAGTGTTCATCTCCGACAGAAAAGAAAGAAGAAAACTACAGTAACAAAGAAATATTTGTAATTGACATTGGTATCAAAATACAGTGACCAAAATTGTAACTAGTCCTGAAAGTGCTTTTCCTAAGTGTTTTACTCTACTTGGTATGCTAAACCTCAAAATAGCTCTCCAGTGACTTGACAACTCCTTATCCATTTGATGTTTAAATGTTTTAAAATGGATTCCTAGGGAGGTGGAGACAGGAGGATCAGAAGTTCAAAGTATCCTTGGCTACAATAGTGAGTTAGAGGCCAGCCTCAACTACCTGAGATTCTGCCAAGACAAACAAATAACAACAACAAAACCCCAAAGGTTTAAAACAGATTTCTAACTCTCAACAGAGTAAAAGAATAACACTTACCAATTTTCTGAGATGCCCTACAAATCTCTCACTGTTAAGAAAAAGAGAAAGCTCTAACTTCTCAGACCTAACTGTTTATATAGAAAGAAGAAAAGTTCACCCACTCTAGACTTACCTGCCCATCTTCGCGCTTTACCCTCTATAGAAAAATGCATCAGTTCACCAAACTGACCTGGGTGTTGACAAGGATTCTAGAACACTTATATATATATCTGTGTGTGTGTGTGTGTGTGTGTGTGTGTGTGTGTGTGTGTGTGTGTGTGTGTATGTGTGTGTATGTGTGTGTGTGTGTGTGTGTGTGTATATATATATATATATATATATATATATATATATATATATATACATACATATATTCATTCACCAGGTTAGCAAATGTAAAACTAGTGAGAGCTGACTTGTTTATTATTCTATTTGAGATTTCTATTCAAAGAGCATGCTTAGTAGGTCAATTCTGCCATCCTCCTACAACCTAGGGGTGTGGAGCCATCGCTTACTTCATTTGGGTTTACTGACGTCAGCCTTGTGTTCAGCATGGGCGTTTCATAGGCACTGTCCACTTGGTTCTTCACAAAAGCAATGTGAGCATACACATCACAGCCCCTTCACAGCTGAGAAGAACATGGGTTAAAGAGGTTCCTCGATTTGGTTGCCCAAAACAGAACCAGAATTCTCACATAAAATTTTTGACATAAGACTAGCATTCTTTCCACTACACCATATTTATTTATAATAATTAGATATATCAAAACAGAATAGAAAATTCTACTCCTATATGCCAAACATAGCCTTTTGTTATGTGAGTCAGCAGATGTTTGTCCTATCTTAAATTTTAAACATATAGTTAGTGCTTGTATTTTCTCAAAGCAACAGAGAACAGTAGGATGATGGATTCAACACTCTAAGCAGAATTTCAATCAGCCAAAGTGCTTCTGAGTTGTATATATATCTCAGGTACTTATTTGTTTATTATGGCCAATGAAAATCTGTCACTGACTACAAGCCACAGTTGTGGGTCATCCAGATCTCTCCAATGACATCACTCCCAAACTTCCTTCGAAGTAGCGTATTTATTATGTAGTATGTCCCTTTGTGAAATTTAGAAATGGCTAGAACAGATCTGAGTTTTATGGTACCATCTGGAAACTGGATGACATCTGTTATAGAAGTCATACCTTTAACCCTGTGCCAAGCAGTGTCTACATGCCTTCTATATATTACCCAACGTTCTAAAAGGTAGACAGTCATTACCCCAATTTCCAAATAACTAGGAAACCTGAACATGGTTTAGGGATGGAGGTGTAGTTTAGTGGTAGAGTATAAACTTGGCATGTGTGAGTCTCTGGGTTCAGTTCCCAACAGCACCCCCCCAAAAGAAGGGAAACAAAGTGGATTTTATGAAAAACACTAAAGACTTCCCATTGATGTGTTTCACGCCTTGGACATCATGTATAAGTATATGATGATATAAAAATCAAACAAGCTAGATGCTTGGAATCCCAACCCTTGGGAAGCTAAGCCAGGGGGATCCCAAGTTAGAGGCTAGCCTGAGCTGTATATAGTGAGGCGCTTCCTCAAACAAACAAAATCAAAATCAAAATCAAGGTGAACATCGATGTAGTAGTGAAATGAGGTATAAATAAAATATTATGATGTTTCTGTTTCCTGATGGGTCTTTTAAGGTTTTTGTTATGTATATATTTATTTTTTATGTGTATGAGTGTCTTCCCTGCACAGATGGCTGTGCACCCTGTGTGTGTGTGCCTGGTGCCCAGGCAGGCTAGAAGAGGGTGCCCAGAGAAAGTGTTGGATCCCCTGGGGCTGGAGTCACAGACCGTTGTTAGCTGCTGTTTGAGTGCAGAGAATGGAACCCGGGTTCTCTGGAGGAGCAGCCAGTGCTCTTAACTGCGGAGCCATCTCTCCAGCCCCATTCTTGAAGGATTCCTGAGGAACTCCCTTCTGCCTTTCTTCAGCTTGGAGTCAGTTCATGAACATGGGTCAGGGTGGGGCGCCACACTCCTTGCCACCCAAGGCTTGCCCAGGGTTGATGGGGCTTCTGCAGTTCTCCCAGCTCAGGCAGAGAGCAGTATGTTCCTCTCCTTTATACCTTGTACCAAGGGAATCTGCCCCCACCTGCTGTCATCTAGTCCTACCCACGATCTGCTCTGGCGCCCTGCCATTCCTCACCATTGAAAATTCGAAAGGCTTATAGCTTTGCATTCCCAAATTGTGCCTGATACTGTGTAGTGGATATGGGGGGTGTTTTTGCATTCCCAGTCCATTCTAGATTCCAATTTTCTAAAAATGGAGCAGCTTAGTTTAGAAAGTAGCTCCCTGTCGGTAGTAAATTCTTAACAACTTGGTCTCTTTTAGGATACACATCAAAATAAGGGGTTGGAATGGGGAAAAAAAAAGACTTAACAGAGTCAGGAAACTCACAGACTAGTGGGACTGAAGCGAGGCTACAACGGCCTGGGGAGTGTGAACGAGATTGGTAAACTGTAAAAATCCTTCAGAGGAAGCTCTGTGACTCACACAGGATCAGCCTTTCACAGAAGCCCAGGCCAGTGGCTCTCAGACATCATCAGCATGTATCAGAATTATCCAAAGGGCTTGTGAAGTGTAGATCTCTGGGTCCATAACTTTTGATTTAATAGTGTCCAGGAACTTGTATTTCTGTCTGGTTCCCGAGTGACACTGATGTTGCAGGTTCTCTGTTTAGGCCTGGAGAATTTCTGGCTGCTGGATAAGGGCAATCCATCACTGCCACAGTAGGCATACCGTTTGCAGGAAAAATAGTCATTATTTTTTTAATACTACTACTCTCCATTTCTTGGTAACCCCAACATCTGCTCTCATCTTCCACATAGCTCAGTGCTAGTATGGAGCAAAAATAGCATTCCTCTTCTGTTCTGCAGTATGTATCATTAATACCTACCAACAATAACCCATTCTTGTTTAAAAGCTGCTTTCAGGGAGCAGGGGACTCTCCCATGTTTCTGTGCACCTAGTTTCTGAACGTAGAGCCTAAGTTCTTATGAGACCTGTATTTAAAACAGAGAAAGGGGCAATGTGGCAGAACACACCCTCTTCTTTGCATTTGTAGCTATGAATGCAGGCATAGGTTTGTGACTCAGACCACGTACCCTAGACGGGACCAGCCTGTCCCTAACTGAAGGGACCAGATATAAGGTGCAAAGTTAGGGGAGTGATGATAAACACCTTACTGTGCCCCAACATAGCGAGGAGGCGGGGATGATTGTAAAGGCCTAGCCTGGGAGAGGTCGCTCCAGAGCCGGCCCTCCGCAGAGCTCCACCGCAGCCTCCTGTCGCCCTCCAGACCCTCCCGGGGGACGCGCGGTGCAACCAAGCCTACAGCGCTGTCCGCGCGCCGCCGCGCAGCCCTCCGGCCTTCCCATTGGCGGGCGGCGCCATCCGCGCTCGCCTCGCCCTGGCGCCGGCGGGCGGAGGCCGGGGCGGGGTAGGCCGCGCTCGCGGCGGGCTGTGGCCGCAGCCTGGCGCTGCTGCCGGCGGGGAGCGGGGCGCGCGGCGGGAGGAGGCAGGCCCATGCGGGGCGGCGGCGGCGGCGGCGGCGGGCGGCGGGGCCCGGTGCCCAGGGCGGCCCTACCGGACCCGCCCGGCCGGCTCCCGCGCGCCCTGCCTGGCCCAGCAGCCCGGCCTGCGGGCAGGGATGCGCCGTGTGGTCCAGCTTCCCCGCGCCCTGCGGGGCCCTGAGGCAGAAAGTTTGGGGGTCGGGAGCGGCCCTCCTCCCCGCCAGTGACTGCCCAGGGACTCCTGCAGCCCGGCTTCGCCCGCCACCTGCCTCCGCTCCCCAGGTCGGAATGAACTATCCCAAGGCTCCCTCTCTTCGCCCCTCCCTCGTCCTCCTTTAAAAAAGATATTTTCTTAAAATCAAGAACTCGTGATCTGCCTACTCCCCTCGTCCATAATTTAAACCCCAGGTCTTTTGAGTGCAAGAGGGGGTGCGGTCTTCTCCAAGACAGCACGCTAGAAGGACAGAGTCCCCTTGCCGACCCACTTACACCATGAAGAGGTGCAAATCGGACGAGCTGCAGCAACAGCAGGGCGAGGAGGATGGGGCTGGGATGGAAGATGCGGCTTGCCTTCTGCCGGGCGCGGACCTCCGGCCTGGGGAGGCCTCGGGTGCTAACTCCGCTGGCGGGCCAACTTCAGATGCTGGCGCCGCTGCGGTGGCGCCCAACCCGGGTCCCCGAAGCAAGCCTCCTGATTTAAAGGTGAGCGCAGACCGTCCCCAGGCAAGCCCAGCCCGCCACGTATAGCTTTCCCCACCCCACGCAGAAGTGTCTTTAATAAAAGTGATGGGGAAGCTTGCAGAGGTCAGAGAGGATGAACGCTGTCCCGCTAGGACCCCAGGGGGAAGTTAGGTACCATTTGTGCCTGTCTATCAGTTCCATTTCAGGCCTCCGTGTTCTTCATTATTCAGCAAACGGTTTAATGACTCACCCATCCGAGATTGTTTGAAGAACGTGTGTGAAATGCTATTTGCAGACAAAGGGCTGGAGAGATCTAAGATGCTAACTTAAAAAGTTCACAGTACTCTTCCTTCTGTGGGAAGGCTGGGAAAGAAGACTGCGGCATGGGAGGCTAAATAGGTTACCGTTACCTTCCTATGCCAATTAGCCTCCTCCGGGTGGGATTTTTGAGCACCTTCCTGAACGAAGCTCAGTTTGTCCATCTATGAAAGGGGGGTGTAGATGTCTTGCCGTTAGGTGGAGCCAGAGGTTAAGCTAGTGCTTGGAGATCCCTGTCTGCCTGCTAAACCAACCCCCAGGGTGGAGAACTGACAGGTGGCAGGGCAGAGCTTGGGCTGGTTGGGGCCTCGGTTCAAGTTGCACACATGCTGAGCCGGCAGCTAGAACCAGAATTGGAAAGGGCCGTTCACATGGAGCTGTTTATTTTCCAGCCCGAGGTCCTCTAGACAATTGGCGAGCTGGGTTGAATATATATCTCTTGTGTCGATTACGGCAGCAGCCGGGATAAATAATGCGCCTCTGCTGGAGTTACCACCAAGACTGCCAGCTCAGGCTCCTCAGGCCGGTTTACAACTGGGCTGAGAGAGATGTCAGCCCCGGGAAGGAACTTAGATGCCTCCGGGATTAATGCCTTGGGAATTTTCTCTGGAGAGGGTGCAGGGTCTGGGATAGCGGAGCAGAAAGGACTCCCGTTAGGTTAAAGCCTGTGTCCCTCTGGCCGTGGGCACTGAGGAGCTCACCAGAGTAAGCCAATGACATTCCTTCTTTGGCCTGAACAGCTCAGAGTCAGGAAGCCAGGTGAGTGCATGTGCTCTTTTGTGTGGTGCATTCATGTGTGTGTGTGTGTGTGTGTGTGTGTGTGTGTGTGTGTGTGTGTGTGTGTGTGTCCCTTGGGGGAAGGGAGCTCCCTCACTCCTTGTGTGTACTTTTACAATTTTGTAGAAGTTTTGCAAATCTGACCTCTTGTTCACCAACCTTATGCCTAATGATGGGCTCTGTTGGCCACCTAGGCTCTCTTGACAAAGCTTGTGATTTCATCAGACCCCAAGAAGCCCCTCCCCCAAGTGACATGTTTTCTGTGTTAAGTGAGATGTGCAGGCTTGTGGAACAGGGAGGGGATCCTTTGGTCTTGCTCCGCTGGCTGTGGTATGGGGCTGGGGGGAGGGGGCCGGCGGCTGCAGTATCTCTGTATATCTAACGCTGCCCAGAGGTGGTTGTCTGTCCCCTCCTGTATCCTGTATCGTCTCTTTTGATGACACTCATTTTGGTTGGAGCAGCAAGCCCTTGACTGCAACATAGTAACTGCTAAACTGTCCCGAAGGAGACTTGTGAATTGAGGACCCACACCTCCACACAACCCGGCAGTGTGGACCCAAACAAGGAGAACACAGCCACTGCAGCTCATGGAAGCACAGGGCGGCACACAGAGCGTCTGCCTGCTTATCTTGGCGTGCTTCATCACAACATGTTTACCGCAACAGAGACTTCTCTGCCAGATGTGACCTAGGGGCCACCACAGTCTGGCATGCCACTTAACTTTTCTGAGGAAAGGGACGAGGGATCTTGGACTGTGGCCAAACTTGTTTTCCAGGGCTGGACAAGTTTTCCATGGCTGATGGCTTAATGGAAAAATTCCCTCGTTGTCTCTAGAAGTGGGTAGAAGTTGACTTGTTCTGAATTTGACGGCGGTGCCAAAAGGGACGTGTTTTCTTTTTAATTTGCGATACTGTTTGTCCCGCACCTGTGGTTAGTGGTTGCTGTTCAGCAGTCCTGGCTTGCCTTTGCTTTTCATGTTGGACTTGGAGCTAGGAGCTTTCTGTCCCTTAGTCCCACTTCTATTTTCTTGTGACAGCTCCAGGCGTTGTGACCGATAGTGTGCCATGGGGGGAATCATCTTGAGCAAGGAGAGTGTAAGGCGCTGTCTAAAGCACCTCCACAGTAGGAGAGGAAGTGGAAAAAAATCAGTCATTGCTAGAAGCATCTGAATAATGCTTCACTGGTGATGGGCAGCAGTGTTGGGGGCTCAGTTGTCTCTGGTCCTTTAAGAAGCATCATATTATGTGTTGTACATTTCCTAGTTTATTTTGTGTGGGGGAGAGGTGGACGTCCTGAGATCATGGCTAGAGTCTTGAGCATGCTAGCCTGGGATCTGTGATTATAGAGCGGGTAGGGCTGAGGGCAAGGGTGGGGGGGTGGGGGTGGGGAAATATCTACGTAGTAGGAATTTTTAACCAGTAACTATAACAGAAAAGCAACCTGCAAATGGGCCTGGCCCCACAGGAGGCTTGTGTAAACACTTCTGAGTCTTGCCACAACTTCACATAAGCATGTATCCTCCAGGGGCGATCTCAGCAGACAGTATGCAAGGGGAGCGTGACAGTCTAGCGTGGATTCCTGTCTAACCACCCAAGCTTATGTCTCCGTTCATTTGTTCTCACGATCCCATCCTTTGCTGCTATCTGAGTCCCTGCTCGTTGAGGAGAGATGCCGGGGTGGCTTGACACAGAGGCTGCAGTCTGACGAAAGTGTAACAAAAGTCTCCAGCGAGGACACGGGCTGCAGACAGAAGGGGTGTGGGGAGGAGCTCAGGAGAACTCTGCAGACAGAGATCCTGTTCAGTTGGGGCCTGGGTGAACCGCTGAGCTGAGTGTGTGGTTCTGTCCTGCACACTGGATAAGCCTGAGGTTGGGGGAAGGCATTGCCCACCTCCCACCGTTCCCACCAAACTGTTCAGTTGAGGAACAGGGCCTTTCCCGAGAGGAAAAGCCTGGGGATGCTGGCCAGCGAAAGTTCCCAGAGGTGTTCTGTCTCCTTATAAAAGCCGGATTTCCCCCTGGGATTTCTGAGCAGTATCATGGTTGTTCCCTGAAGAAAGGGGAGAGAGTTCCACCATCCACTGTTTCCATCTGGTTGTAAGTACTCTTTTGACTCAAGACTCCTTTGGGATGGTTCAGATCCTGTTCTTCTGTTCATACCACACTCTGAGTGAGGAGCAGAGAAGACCACAGACCACCAAGGGAAATTCACAGCCAAGTCCTGGGTGGTTCACCTGTATGGGTGCTCAAAGGGGCTTCAGTGCCCTGTGAATGGCTCAGGAGCCTTTCTTGGTCATCAGTCCCTTGACAAGAGGGTGTGTTTGGGCAGTCAAAATACAGGACATTTTCAGTGGGAAAGATGTTATTGTAAACAGTGAAGTGGGACATGCATATAAAAGTATACACAGAGAAACATGTATAAAGTTTAATAACAACAAAAATAGACAGGTCATCCATTCACTGCCCAAACCAAGAAAAGAACATCAGAATTCCCAAACCTCTGTGTCCTTGTTCTTATGGGGTTTTTTGTTTGTTTGTTTGTTTGTTTTTGATTTTTAAGACATAGGGGTTGGTTAAATTTTGTGGTATCAGTCTTTAAATGAAGGAGAAGATTAGCTGTTTTGGGGGGTGGGGTATGAAGGCATGTGTGCATCCTGGGACTTTGGATGATTCAGTGACTGTAGAGAATGGCTTTCTGGGACCTTGCTGCGTCCTGGACTCCTACTGTCCTTTAGAAATGGTGTACTCAGACTTGAAGATTCTTGCAATCTATGGGACATGAGCCCCCGAGGCAGAGTTCATCGGGGAGGTAGGCTTGAGGGAGACCTAACCCGAGAGATGGAAACTTAGTTCTTCAGCAAGGCAAAGCCTTCACTTTCAGTGAGCCTCCAGGTCCCCCGGGATGAAACACTTGCAAGAAAATTCCCAGGACACCCCAGGCCTCAGTGTGCTTGGAACACCATGCAGTGGCATCTGGAACATGGGTTAAGCAAGAAGGGTGCTTGAAGGGGAAGATGGCTTTAGATCGGGATCTTAAAGAAAGGGCAGAGTGTTAATTACCAGACAAGAGGAGGATTTCCAGCTAGGATAATAAGATGATAAGAACCAAGACCTCAGTATAGTCTTGACCCTGTTCCCTGTCAGTGCCAGGGACCAGAGAGCTCTGAGGAATGCTGAAGTTGCTAGTTTTGACCCATCTATACCCTTTGAGGACAGAGGATCCCGAGGCCCAGGACTGTCCCCCACCCCTTTAGCCTGAAGCAGTATTCAGAGCAGCCCACCCTATGTGTAGGCTCAGGAGGAACTAAGGCCGGCGGGACAGCATGTGGCACATGAAGCTCTCTGTTCCGCCACATATTGGGCTTAGATTCACTCCCAGCTGCCCTAGTTGCAATTCAGAATTTACAGAATGTGCTTCTTTTTTGTGTGTATCCAATTGCGGCTTTGCTGCCAATCATATTAAAACTGCCTTCCTCTGTAAGGAGTTGAAACATTCAATAAGTTATGAATATGGAGGTGAGGTTAAATGATACTGTGGATAGGGAGAGGTTCTCAGGGTGTGGCTGGGTGGTCTTACTGCCAACCCAGAATCACCTGCGTTTACCTCTTCCATGATCCTTGGCCTCTCCCTTGGAAATCCCCATCAACAAGGATGGTGCATCTTTGGACCGACTACGCCCTGGCTAAAGAAGGGTCCACTTCTCCACCAAACACAGGAGACTCTCACCTGAATTAAGAAGTTGAAACAAAGCTGCTGGAGGCAGAGGAGGCAGGTTTTGGGTTTGACTTTTCAAACCGAACTGCCAAAGGTTTCCTCATTCCAA